ATATATTATAGATTCAGACTAACTTTTTATTTTTTTCCTAATAAAAAAATCATTATTTTCACTTTTGTTTTGTCTTTTTTTAAGGGAATGCTTGATGTTGGAGGCATCCCAAGACAATAAATAATTTTAAAAAATAATGTTACCAATATGTGTTTTTTAGTCATAACTTATAATTCTAATAAATGTACATGAAGGAAGTCATGTTAGCTCATTACGTATTCTGGATTTGCTTTCTGCGCTGCAGTGTCACCAGGGGTGGACTGACCATTTGGAAACTTGGGCACTGCCCGAGGGCCCGGGGTCAGTAGGGGGCCCCATGAGATGCCCCTGGTACCTTTTTCATAGGCTTTTTTGAGTTTGGGCAAGGACACAGGGGCCCCATGATCCCCTATTGCCCGGGGGCCCCATGAGTTGTCAGTCCGCCCCTGAGTGTCACACAACAGTTGTGGTTTACTGGTCCTTTTCATGCTGAAAGTCTATGAGACAACCAACTGATTTAATTCAATGCACTCTGTGGGTGGCTAAAATCACATCTCAACTACAGTTAAAGCAAATTAGACTTAGGAAACCTTATCCTTTAAAAAAAAATGCAAGACTGGTCAGTTTAAATCATGCTCAGTTTAACAGTTCTGCAACTAATTTGTATCATTCTACTACGATTGCTGTTCTTACCATGTATATCGGTTGTCATGATGATGGCATAAGCCACTATGGGTCCATGTGGAGTCTCAAAACTTTGGAAGGTGATGTCCATAGCATCCCTTGAGGATGAGCGAACAATCTGCACACTGCCTGGTATTTCTGTATGATTTTGAAAATAATTCAATATATAGATATAGGTGATCAACTCCAAAATTTATACCACAAAAAAGTAAATGTGAAAAATGTTAACTCTAAATACATTCTAATACATAGATACCTGTTCGAAAAGTAGAAGTTGTTGAAGCAGAACCAGTAAAGGTGGTAACAGATGCTGTTGACTGATCCTCATTGATAGTGTTGGTGGCTGGATCATAGTTTATGGAGGTAAAGCCTACTATGAAGACCCTGAAAGGTAAGAGATCATTGTACATCTTATTATTTGGGTGGAATGATTTAGCATCAAATGTAAAAAAAAAAAAATCACTGAAATTTCATTGATATAAACTTCATGTTTCACCATGGAGACTAAATAGTGGAATAGCAAAAATATGTTTTGTTTTCTAGGAAAGCCATGTGGTCATCTTCCTAGTGCTGACAATGGGATCAATGGCTTTGTTGATAAACAAAGACAACCCCAGCCACAATGCTAAACTTTTGAAAAACAAAGTCATGTGATCACCATCTTTTTATTTGACTTGAGGATCACATCACACCTTTGTTGTTAAGTTTTGCTAACTTATTCCAATTGTTGCTGACATTTCGCTTATGCAATAACTCACAATTTTGCTTATTACTGTAACTGTTATGTTAAGATATTTCTTAAAATCTATATTTAAACATATTTTCTTTCTTTCTGATGTAATGTTCTTACTTAAAAATGATTTTGCAATGCTTGTTGATACCATTTGTCTTCAATAAAAAACTTTATGGAAGAAAAAAATAATCTATATCTAAACTTTTTAAATCATTCCACCACCAGTTAGCTTGACAGAGATTCATTCTAGTCTCTGAGCAATGTTATTCTTTGAATTTCCCTGAAGTTTCATCAACATTAATTTCAAGTTTCACCATGTTGTAATTGACTTCAGAATCATATCACACCTTTGTTAACATTTTCTAAAATAACCCAAAGGTTATTGACATTTCATGAAAGTTAAAATTCACAATTTTGCTTATCAATAGTACCGTATTTTCTGGCGACTGGGTGTATAAGACGACCCCCTAATTTTCCAGTTAAAACATAGGTTTTGGGCTATACTCGCCGTATAAGACTACCCCCCTTCTGAGGCAACACCATTTAAAAAACATCAGATTTTTTAATTGAAATGGTTATGACTTACCGGTACTTACAATCCTTCAAAATCCTCATGTTCATCCTCTGACATCATAAGTTCATGAATGACATCTTGTGATACATTTGTAAGACAGTCATCATATGGATCAAATTCCAAATCATTTGTTACCTTTGGATGTGCGGTAATACGGTAGCTTCGGCTACATACAGTATACAGTATATATACAGCCCGCTGGATGTGCGGTAATACGGTAGCTTCGGCTACATACGGTATACAGTATATATACAGCCCGCTGGATGTGCGGTAATACGGTAACTTCGGCTACATACAGTATACAGTATATATACAGCCCGCTGGATGTGCGGTAATACGGTAACTTCGGTTACATACAGTATACAGTATATATACAGCCCGCTGGATGTGCGGTAATACGGTAACTTCGGTTACATACAGTATACAGTATATATACAGCCCGCTGGATGTGCGGTAATACGGTAGCTTCGGCTACATACAGTATACAGTATATATACAGCCCGCTGGATGTGCAGTAATGTACATACAGTATACCGTGCTGAGCCAAGCTGGCTCAAAACAAATGTCCCTATGAGAGATTAATCTGTCAGCCCGCTGGATGTGCGGTATATACAGTATACTGAGCCAAGCTGTTTCAAAACGTACCGGTACGTCCCTACGGTAATCAGACCGCTGGATGTGTGTATGTACAGTAGCTGAGGCTACATACAGTATATATACGCTGGGCCAATCACGGCGAGCGATGTATTCTACTAATGAGTACAAAGCCTGCTCGGATTGGCTGAGGTTGTGACATCATCAGCCCACCTCTCTGACTCAGCCAATCCGAGCAGGCTTTGTATTCATTAGTAGAATACATCACTTGCCGTGATTGGCCCAGTGTATACTGTATGTAGCCGCAGCTATCTGACATACACGCATCCAGCGGGCTGATTACAGTAGGGACGTACCGGTACATTTTGAAACCTCTTGGCTCAGCGCAGTATACTGTATATACCGCACATCCAGCGGGCTCACAGGTTAATCTGTCATAGGGACATTTGTTTTGAGCCAGCTTGGCTCAGCATGGTATACTGTATGTACATTACTGCACATCCAGCCAGCTTGACCCAAACAAACTCAAGGTTCACATTTTATACCCAGCGTATAAGACGGCCCCCAATTTTTGAGGTATATTTTTAAGTATAAAAAGTAGTCTTATACGCCAGAAAATACTGTAAATATTATACAGGGAACTTTCTTAAAATCTATATTTGGAACTTTTTAAATCCTTCCAACACCATTCAATAAAACAGACATTCAGCCTAGTGTCAGCAATGTGACATTTGGTTTTTAAACTCAAGGTGTGTCTCGGATGGGTGTTGAAGTAACGCCATTACCTGTAGTTTAATGTGGGATCCAACAGTCCATTGATGTATCCCCTTGAAACAGTGCCATCTCCAACATGGACACTTATTTTATCCAATTGGTCAGCATTCTGGATATTCTGTGGCTCAATGACAGAAGTCACATAAGTCCTAGTCAACCCATTCTTGAAATCATTATAAGTCTTTGATAAAGACCCCTTAGCTGGTTTGTGGCCTAAAACACAAAAAGAGAATGACCATTGGGATAGAATGAGAAATGACCAAAGAAAATACTTTGAACAACCTATATTTGATAGATGCAGTCTCACTTTTTGTTTTTTTCTTGAAAAATATCAATAGGTTAATTTTTACTGTCTTTCTTTTAAAAGGGAATACCGAATGTTTGATGCATCCCAAGAAAAAAAGGATTTGTTTTGTTTAGCTACCTCACGACTGTTTCACCCCAATCCTGCCCAGGCCTTTTTCCAGATTTCAGCTCTGTCACATTTTGAATGAAAATTACTCATGCAAAACTGTACCCAAATGAAATTTTCATTATTTTCTTGTGGCAGATAGAGCTTTGTTTTGGTGGTATCTATTCAGCATTGGGGTTTTTTTTTATTTTTTATTTTTTGCTATATAAATAAAAAACATCTGTCACAATATTTTGGAAAGTATTCAAAAATAAAAAATATTCTTTCTCATAAATTTATGCCAAAATGTATTCTGCCATATTTCTTTGGTAAAAAATAACCAAAATCGGTGTAAGTCCTTGTGAAAGTTCTAAAGTCTACAAATTGCATTATATATGTTTGAAAATTGATCAGTCCTAATGTAATGGCTTCCTACTTCATTTCTTGAAGCCCTAAATTGCCAGGATAGTACAAAAAACCCCCAAATGACCCCTTTTTGGAAAGTAGACACCCAACATTTATAGGTAAAGTTGATCCAGGGAATATGATTTTATTCAGGATGATATTGCTTACAAATGTGATTGTTGAGGTTGGACACAGCTATCACATGGTACAGGGTTGCTATGGGTGGCCCAGAGTCATGAGATTGCTGTGATAAATCACAAAGATCACAGACGTAAGCAACAGTGTAATGAATGACAGTCATTGTTTACTACTGTTCATGTGTTTGCTACGATTGGTCACATGGTACCTAGGCCAATCACAATGGCCCATTATCACGATCAGTGATCAAACACAGCAGTCACAGATTGGCCCACTGCATGCCCCCAGGATTACGCATGAGGTTCTGATGCTTCTGGTAGGAAACACTGGCCCATGCAGTACTCCCAAGACGACGCTTGTTTCGCCTGGCCATATATGTACAGTGGCTGGGCAGGAAGCAAATAAATAATGTTATCAATAATGTGTTTTCTTGTTATAATTTGTAATTCTAAAAGTACATGAAGGAAGCCATGTTAGCTCATTAAGGCTCCATGTACACGGGACACTTCTGAACGATGGAAACTGACTGCTGGAAAACATAGGTTAAAAAACGTCTGTTTAGCCGCGGTTGCATAACGCATTTACATGTGTCTACGTTTAGAAGCGCTTTCTAAAGATAAGCACAGGAGAATCTCCCAAATGCCCAGAATGCACTGGTAAATTATTAACTGTTTTAGAGAAATACAGAGAGCAGAAGTAGAGAGAGCAGTACGTGTTGAGATTAGTTTAGGTGTGAGTTGCTCATTGACATTAACATATCTTTTGTTTCCAAGGGTGGGAGAGGTCTGAGGTGTGAATGGTCATTAACATATCTTTTGTTTCCAAGGGTGGGAGAGGTCTGAGGTGTGAATGGTCATTAACATATCTTTTGTTTCCAAGGGTGGGAAAGGTGTCTGGTGGAGGGAGTCATTAAGGCCACCTGGCAGGGGGTCTTCATGAGGAATTTGAGGTGCAATGGTCATTACCATATCTTTTGTTTACAAGGTTGGGAGAGGTCTGAGGTGTGAATGGTCATTAACATATCTTTTGTTTCCAAGGGTGGGTGAGGTCTGAGGTGTGAATGGTCATTAACATATCTTTTGTTTCCAAGGGTCCGAGAGGTCTGAGGTGTGAATGGTCATTAACATATCTTTTGTTTCCAAGGGTTGGAGAGAACTGAGGTGTGAATGGTCATTAACATATCTTTTGTTTCCAAGGGTGGGAGAGGTCTCAGGTGTGAATTGATCATTACAATGCCTGCAAGTTTGGTAGGAACATCCTGTGTTCAGTGTTTTGTCCATCTGAGTACCTTGAAAACGCTTTCCATGCATTTTTCATGATGAAAAAAGGGCTCTGGACAGAATTGGGAACTGGAAGAGTTAAAAACAAATTTCAGACACAATTGCTTAGAAACGCGCTTTGACGCGTTTAGTTGCGTTTACAAGCATTTGAAGCGTTGATAAAATTGACTGCTGAATGCATGTTTTCTGTGTTCAAAAAAATGACTGTAAACTCAAATGCCTGTAAACGACTGTAAACAAAGATGTGTACATGGGCACATAGGAAAACATTAGGGAGAGTTCAGGGGCTGCTGAAAAAATGCTGAACAGCTCCTAAACGTGAGTTTATCAGCTGCAGTGTACATGAGCTCTAAGAATTCTGGATCTGTTTTCTGCTTTGCAATGTCACATTATGGATCTTTTTGACAGTACAGGTCTATGAGACAACCAAACCATTGAATTCAAAGCACTCGCTAACATCACATCTCAACTACAGATAAAGCAAATAGGATTCAGGGAACCACATACTTCAAACAATGCAAGACTAGTCAGTTTAGGTCAGTAATGCTCAGTTTAACAGTTCTGAAACGAATTTGCATAAATATATTATGATTGCTATTCCTACCATGTAAATTGGTTGTCATGATGATGGCATAAGCCACTATGGGTCCATTTGGAGTCTCAAAACTTTGGAAGGTGATGTCCATAGCATCTCTTGAGGATGAGCGAACAATCTGCACGGTTCCTGGTATCTCTACAAAATAATTCAATATATAAATATAGGTGATCATCTCCCAAATGTATATCACAAATGGTAAATGTGAAAAATGTGAGCTGTAAATACAGTACATTACCAGACATACCTACCTGTTCTAAAAGTAGAAGTTGTTGAAGTAGAACCAGAGAAGCTGGAAACAGATGCTGTTGATTGATCCGCATTGATGGTGTTTGTGGCTGGATCAAAGTTTATACCGGTAAAGCCTATTATGTAGACCCTGAAAGTCAAGAGATTGATGTCCATCTTTTTATATTGGTGGAATGATTATGCAGCAAATGCAACATTTTCATTGACATTAGCCTCATGTTTCACCATACAGACTGCTTGGAGGAATACAAAAAAAATGTGTTTTCTAAGAAAGTCATGTGATCACCTTATCAGTGCTGAGATTATTGGTTTTGTTGATAAACATGACCAACCCTAGCCAAAATACAGCCAACCCTTTGATAAACAATATCACGTGATTCATAAAAATTCAAATAGTTCAAAAAAACACCTTGGGTATCCACCATCACCAGCACCTCAAAAAATACTGCCTCTTACCAGACTTGAATGACCACACAATTAAGTGCCGGTCAGGAAAAGCATGGTACGGATATCAAATTAGGATGACGAACTCCGTCACTGACGACTCTGGGAGGATACGGTGAACTCCAAATACTGGATGTAGATGGATGCCAATTGGATCTCTCTCATTAGATTCCCAAATCAAGGCATTAGCTCCCAAACTCCCTACCTAGGAGGTTCTTGAGAAAGGTTTTTTTGGATCCCGAAATGTTTTTTTTGTTTTCCTCCTCTCTCTTTTCACCAAGAACAGCTTCCTTTTTTTACTCTATTCTGGGTACTGTATTCCTGTCTATATTTGGCAATTTATCTGAACTATCAGTTTGGGAGCTAATGGCTCGTGCGCACCCCCTACCCGGAAATGCAAAATGACGTATATATATGTGATTCTGTATATCTGCTATAGGGTGGTCCTTAAGCAGTTAAACACAAGGTGTCTTACTGGATGGATGTGGACATACAGTGGGGCAAAAAAGTATTTAGTCTTCCAACATGACAATGATCCCAAACATACCGCCCGGGCAACGAAGGAGTGGCTTCGTAAGAAGCATTTCAAGGTCCTGGAGTGGCCTAGCCAGTCTCCAGATCTCAACCCCATAGAAAACCTTTGGAGGAAGTTGAAAGTCCGTGTTGCCCAGCGACAGCCCCAAAACATCACTGCTCTAGAGGAGATCTGCATTGAGGATGGGCCTACATACCAGCAACAGTGTGTGCCAACCTTGTGAAGACTTACAGGAAACGTTTGACCTCTGTCATTGCCAACAAAGGATATATAACAAAGTATTGAGATGAACTTTTCATATTGACCAAATACTTATTTTCCACCATAATTTGCAAATAAATTCTTTCGAAATGAGCCAATGTGATTGTCTGGATTTTTTTTTCTCATTTTGTCTCTCATAGTTGAGGTCTACCTATGATGCCAATTACAGGCCTCTCTCATCTTTTTAAGTGGGAGAACTTGCACAATTGGTGACTGACTAAATACTTTTCTGCCCCACTGTAACTCTATTACCTGTAGTTTAATGTGGGGTCCAAAGGTCCATTGATGTATCCCCTTGAAACAGTGCCATCTCCCACATGGACACTTATCTTATTTGATTGGTCAAGGTTCTGGATATTCTGCGGCTCAATGACAGAAGTCACATAAGTCCTGGTCAACCCGTTCTTGAAATCATCATAAGTGTTTGATAAAGACCACTTGGTCATTTTATGGCCTGAAATACAAAAGAAAATGACCAATAGAATAGAATGATAAATGACCAAAGATAATACTTTCAAGCAACCTGATAATATTTTCAATATTTGATAGATTTAGAATCATATATCTTTTCTTTAAAAAATCATTTAACATTTTTAAATTCTTTAAATTCCAAATGTACATGATGGAAGCCATGTTAGCTCAGGACATACTCTGGATCTTCTTTGTGCCCAATGGTGTCATACAAGGGTTGTGGTTTACCGATTCGTTTCACAATGAAAGTCTACAAGACTACAAACTCATTGAATTCAATGCACTCTGTGGGTGGTTAAAATCACACCTTCACTATAGTTAAAGCAATTTTTCCAAACTATCCTTCCAAAAATGCAAGACTAGTCAGTTTAAATGAAGATCAGTAGAAAAGTTCCAGCAACTAATTTGTATCATTCTATTGTGATTACTGTTCCTACCATGTAAATTGGTTGTCATGATGATGGCATAAGCCACTATGGGTCCATGTGGAGTCTCAAAACTTGGGAAGGTGATGTCCATAGCATCCCTCGAGGATGAGCGAACAATCTGCATACTGCCTGGTATCTCTTCATGACCTTAAAAATAATTTGATATATAGATATAGGTGACCAACCCTGAAATGTATATTACAAATGGCAAATGTGAAATAAATTAATTGTAAATACAGTACATTATCAGATATAACTACCTTGTCTAAAAGTAGAAGTTGAAGTAGAACCAGAGAAGCTGGTAACACTTGCCGTTGATTGATCTTCATTGATAGCGTTTGTGGCTGGATCAAAGTTTATAGCAGTAAACCCTACTATGAAGACCCTGAAAGTCAAGAGATCAACGTCCATTATATTATTTGGGAGGAATGATTTTGCAGCAAATGTATCAATTTCACTGACACTTCATCGACACTAATATCATGTTTCACCATGCAGACTGCTTGGAGGGATACCAAAAGACATGGGTTTGAGATGAGATCAACGTCCATTTTTTTTTTTGCGAGGAATGCTTTTGCAGCAAATGTAACTTTTTAATTGAAACTTCATCAACATTACCTTCTGATTCACTATACAGACTGCTTTGAGAAATACCAAAATGGCATGGATTTGTTCTCTAAGAAAGCCATGTGATCACCTTACCATTTCCAACATTGAGATGAATGGCTTTGGTAATAACCAAGGCCAACCCTAGCCATAATGCCTACTCTACTGGCAAGCCTTTAATACGCATTGTTACATGATTACCATGTTATAATTGACCTGAGAATCATATCACTCTTTTGTTCTATTTTGTTTTTAATACATAATTATTTCTGAATTTTCACCACAGTGGAAACTCACAATTTATCTAATCACTAGTAAATATTGTAGAGATCTTTCTTAAACTTTATATTTGGAACTTTTCAAATTCTTTCACCACCAGTGGATTTAACAAAGATTCCGTCTGTTGCCTGAGCAATGTGACTCTTGATTTTTAAACACAAGGTGTGTCTTGTTGGATGGATTTAGAAGTAACTCCATTACCTGTAGTTTTAAAGCAGGGTCCAATGGTCCATTGACGTATCCCCTAGAAATAGTGCCATCTCCCACATGGACACTTATTCTATTTGATTGGTCAGTGTTCTGGATATTCTGTGGCTCAATGACAGAAGTCACATAGGTCTTGGTCAACCCATTCTTGAAATCATCATAAGTGTATGATAAAGATCCCTTGGTGGGTTTGTGGCCTGAAAGACAAAATAGAATGACCAATGGAATAGAGTGATAAATGACCAAAGATAATACTTTCAAAAAGCCTGATAATATTTTCTATATTTGAAAGATTTAACCCCACTTTTTATCTTTTCTGGAAAAAGTCATTATTCATTTTTTCATTTTTTTTTGTTAAGAGAATGCTTAATGTTTAAGGCATCCCAATAAAACTAAGGACTTTTTTTTAAAAATAATGTTACCAATATATGTTTTCTAATCATAACTTAAAATTCTAAATGTAGATGATGGAAGCTTCGTTAGCTCAATATATATTCTGGATCTGCTTTACGCCCAGTGGCTTCATTCAAGGGTTGTGGTTTACAGATTCTTTTCACAACGAAGGGCTAAGACTACAGACTCATTGAATTCAATGCACTCTGTGGGTGGTTAAAATCACACCCAGGGGCGTATTTACCACAAGGTGAACAAGGCATTTTCCTAAGGCGGCATTTTTCAGGGGGCAGCACCTCCCAGGAAGAAGGGACCAGGTGGGATCCAAAAGAGGCTGAAGGCTGCTTGATGGTGCATGCAGAGCCCGACTCTCATTCCCAGGGATGTCCAGATCTGTGAAGGTGAGTGTCTTTCTCTCA